TTCCTCTACAGCCTCCTCAAAGGGGTTTTGTTACTTTAATCTCCTTTGAAAAGGCAATATTGCTGGTGGGCCATTTAAAATGAGACTGAGTGCTCTGAAGCATTTGACCACACCCTTTGAGTTTTTAGAAGTCCAGTTCGGCGAACATATGCGTTTTATTATTCATCTGTGGACCTAAGGGATAGAGTTGTGAAAGTCAAAACAGCCAATGAATATCTGGAACGGGGGAGTGGGTTACGGGCGGGGCGTTCAGACATGTCGAGGGTAATTATAGTGTAGTTCTGTCGGGGGAAGGGGGTTGGATGTTGAAGGAGCCCGTCGACTAGCAACTTCTCTTTGTAGGCATTGCAGCACGACGTGGCAGGATGCGAAAATGAGCATTTCAGACCCAGTTCTTGTGCCAGGGGAGCTTTAGGGCTTTCATAAATACCCTCTCCGAGCACGAGGCTAGGTTGGTTAACCGCATGGCCTTTGCCATCGCAGATATCTGCTGGCACAAGACCTAGGAGTGTCTCGCTGGCACCTAATAGATGACTCGGGATGCTTATTTGACGTCTACCCGGTGGCCGCAGTCAACCAATTGAGCCGCGACTGTTCTATCGATGGAATTTTCCATGCGCTGAATAATGCAGGCAGGAGGGTAGTCTCACCTGCACTTGGCTAGGCGTCTAGTAGTGCGAGAAATATAACCTGCCCAACTGAAGACGTAGGTGTACACTCAAGAGGTCTGAAGGGCGCAGCGTATCCTTTCCTGTAAGTAACGAAGTCTTTGAGAAAATTCGCCTTAATTGGTGACTTTGGCAAATCCGCATTAATCGTTTGACCCAGTTAATTAATTTATCCTGGTAGTCATTTTACAGATTCCAGATTGATTGCTTATGAAATTCTGATTGGGCAGGCAGCTTACTACCTATATTCTAAATGATGGATTTCATATGTTACAGTAGGCTGTGCGGTTAACTTCAGTCAGATTTGATAAAAGACAAAGTTCCCAGTGAGACCTCGTGGCTTAGGTGGTTGGAATGTGAGCTTTGCTCGGACCTTGCCCTTGCTGTCGTGGATTCGAATCCCACGGAAGCCGCCATGTTTTTCACAACTGATTCGAATTAACACTTCGTTGGAGAACATAGGTGCGTGTATCGAGGTGTTAAGGATCATAAGGTTAACCGTAAGAGTTACAATCTTCCAGACCCGGTTCCTTAGGAGAAGGGAAGTCTTGGGAAGGTCAGAGTGGTAAGAACAGTTTATTCTGTACAGAAGGTTTGGAGAATACGTAGGAAGAGATTTGACTCTCAGACGAGTGCAGTCCGTTCCCTGACGGGGAGGCACGGTGCACGCGCCAAAAAGCGTCAGTTTACGTCTGGCCCCAAAGGCATGCCGAGAACTGCCTTCGCGCGACGTCCTATGCATGAAGTTACCTCGTTTGTTGCGTCACGAGTTAGGAGGGAGTCGAGCTGCAGAGCCACTACTAGTGCGTGCAATAGTAGAGTTAAAGCGACTTTGTGGAAGTCCGCTCTCCGAATTCATCAAAATGACTCTTAAAAATAGCTCCGTTTTTCTCAGTCGTCGGTACTTTCTTTAGGCGGGCCGTTCTTCCCTATATTTCATGCAAAACATTTCGGTAAAGTCTTTTTGTGCATTGTTTTTTTCAGAGATTAACTCTTTCTCCAGCCTATGTGAACTGTATATTCTTCAGCAGACTAAGCTCTTTTTCTGACTTAGCGGATCATGTTTATTTGTAAAATACACTTCTACGACCCGTTTCATCAGACCTTCTACTAAGGAGAGTGTCCGGAAGGGAAGATTTTCTCCGTTAGCACCGGGAAGCCGGGTTCATTTTATCAAGGAGGGCGTTCAAATCAGGTTCCTTAGATGCTATTGCAAAACCTCATTAGTATTTTTAATATGGGAATAAAATTCCTCTATAAGTGGATAACACTAGTTTATCTCTAGTTTTTACATCGGCGCATCCGCTAGAAGTCCAACCAGTGATCACATCGCTACTTTCTCAGTGTAGTGGTAAAATGTGCCCTCGAATTTTCATTGGTCATCTAACCTGCTATGGAGGAGCATCTCCTTTAAACCTGAGATCGACATGCCAATTAGTAAATCCTACAAAACAGTCTCGTCACTGCGGTCACACAGAGTCCCTGTCACTCGCATTTAGTTCCGCCACCATTATGCTGGCTTTAAAGTGATTACTAACTTTTAAGGTGAAGTCAAAGCGGGGGAATTGTAACTTTCGCGCAGAAAGGCTGGTATGGAAAGTGTGTCCGTTTTTTCAACCTTCTCTTACGTCTCAACAGACTTTTCTACCACAGGATTTGTAGTTAAACGGCCGTTTTCTTTCCATCAGGGCCTGTCCTGTCCAGTCTCTGCTTGTTTTAACGTACCTTGCTAACCTTTCAAGGATGCTTAGGTGTCCGGTGATTGGCGTACTGCCAGAATTCTCACACAAAATTTCCGATTGTTTTTGCCCTGTGTCTTTCCGTCAAATTGCTTTTTCATATTCCCTTCTGTGACCTACTGAAGGAGCTTCTCTGAACGCTATGATGGGGTTTCCCATTTTTTGACGTCCACCAATCTGCATAAAAAGCCGCACCCAACACCGTTGATTAATTTCCTCTTATATGCAGTTGTTTTAAGAGATCTAGGCAAGCATTGTTGTGCGTATTTATGGGCCATCCTCTGTTTTCAAGACACTTCTTCATTCGTACTCCGAATCTACCTTTCGCAGCCGCATTTCCTTTTGGTCTTCTAGTCGTTTCTCCTCCGCAATGCAATTTGCCTTCTCTCCAGTAACTAGACCATCTCAAGGCGCTGTCTACTCATTAACTCATCTTCACTTGATACTGATGACTTAGTATCGCTCAAATACTTTCTGTTGCGTGAGGTATACTTCAACCATTGCTTTTTTATCCCAAAAAATGAGGTCGGCCTCTAACAGTAAAAGTGGACCGAATATTATTTCACTACATCATCCTTGGAAAATGATCTACTGACCAGCCCAGATGTCCTTTGATGTGTTTTTGGCTTGCGACTTCTTCCAGTTCTGCGTTTGTTAACGTTCTTCCCAATCGAGCCTTATTTTCTCACAATCTCGGTGATACCCCATTTTTAATTACTGTGCAATCTCTCTATGGAGATCCTTAATTGTATGTGGTGCTTTTTTGTGCCATACCTCCAAGCCCTTAATCTAGTGTCTTGTGGATGTCAGTATTCTTCCCCATTTTAAATACGCTAGAAGCCTTAGCAAAAGTGCATTCTTGTTTGTACGCTATTGTAGCGACCTCCCATACTACGCCATACATGAGGTCACACGTGTGCCTGCCCCGAGTGACTCTGGGGCAAGCCGCATGTTTATCTCTCGTGGCCACTAAGCACGTGCGCACCAGAGCGCTTCAAAGGCTGGTTAAGGTCACGAACGTGTATTCACGCTCTCACTGTGTCCTAGTTGGCAAATCACCTCTTAAGGCCGACTATCGGAGGACCTTATGGCGCCATTGCTAATGCCGGATAGCAGGCTCCCGGACC